GCTCGTGGCCCAGTAGGTAAATAATTTGTAGGCCCATTGGGTTGGGCCAATTATGCATATCATTAAGCCCCCCACTCTCGAGTCGATGTGGGGGCCATGTTGAAATGGGTGACATATCGTGTCCAGAGTAAAAATTGTAGTAGTCGATGGTGTGCGATAACGCGTTGGAGCGTGTGTCGGAGGGGCGTGAATGCGCATTGGTGCATAGCGCGACCAAGTTGTCGCGATGTAAGTTAATTGAGTCGTCGGTTTTGTCCCGCGACGATGTAGTAGCGAATTGTCTCCTCGTGGGAGTTGTCTCGTCGCGGGGTAATAGTGTTGATCGAGTTATCTCCTCGTGGGAGTTGTCTCACGATAATGTAGTAGCACGGATCAAGTAATCTCCTCGTGGGAGTTGTCTCTGGGGTAATAGAGTTGATCGAGTTATGTCCTCGTGGAAGTTGTCTCACGATAATGTAGTAGCACGGAGCTAGTATTCTTCTCGTGGGAGTTGTTATTTTTCGACATTGTCAATGTTTTGACGCGTTGCTTATATGTGTTTACATATAGCCTTGTGCGTGATGTACTTGAGGAGGGGATCAGACTCTCAAGATTTTTTTTATGGGGGTCGTGCCCCTTGTTAGACCTCGTGAGTCTTAAGTATGTTTGGACCGTGGCCACGTTTTAATGAATGACCCATCGAAAACAAGTAGATAAATTTGAGTAATCAAGCTGGCCAGGCTATATAGATTCTCATAATATCTCTAAGTGCTTTTAGGGTTGTAATTGTGCTAACTTGAGCTTGCGATTATATAGTGAATTTCGGGTGAGTTGTCTCGCGGTGAGTAATATTATCGAGCGAGGTGGTTGCACGTGGGAGTTGCCTTGCAATGGATTTGTAGTGCCGAGCGAGTTGGCTCCTCGTGGGAGTTGCCTCGCTGCGGGTTGTGGTACCGAGCGAGTTGGCTCCTCGTGGGAGTTGCCTCGCTGCGGGTTGTGGTACCGAGCGAGTTGGCTCCTCGTGGGAGTTGCCTCGCTGCGGGTCGTAGGATGGAGCGAGTGGTCTCCTCGTAGGAGTTATCTCGCTGTGGGTTCGTAGACCCGAGGGAGTTGACTCCTCGTGGGAGTTGCCTCGCAACGGGTTATATGACTGAGCGAGTTATCTCCTCGTGGGAGTTGTCTTGCTGCCGGTTGTAGTACCGAGCGAGTTGGCTCCTCGTGGGAGTTGTCTCGCTACGGGTTATAGTACCGAGCGAGTTGGCTCCTCGTGGGAGTTGTCTCGCTGCGAATTATGGGACGGAGCGAGTGGTCTCCTCGTGGGAGTTATCTCGCTGTGGTTATGAGACCCGAGAGAGTTGGCTCCTCGTGGGAGTTATCCCACTGTGGGTATGAGACCCGTGGGAGTTGGCTTCTCGTGGTAGTTGTCTCGCTGCGGGTGGTAGTACTGAGCGAGTTGGCTCCTCGTGGGAGTTGTCTCGCAAGCCCCCCACTCTCGAGACGATGCGGGAGCCACGTCGAAAAGGGTACCGGATCGTGTCGAGAGTAGATCGGTGTTGTAGTGTTTCTTTATTCGTTGGCGTGGCGTGGAGAGATAATATTTTTTTTTATTTATCCGTTTGATAGCGAGCGCGATTTGGTAGGCGCGTTGAAGAGCTCGCGCAATTTGGTGGAGCGCGTTGAAATTCTCGCGCGATTTGGTGAAGCGAGGTGAAATCTACGCGCAATTTGGTGGAGAGTAGTAAAAGTTGCGCTCAATTAGATGGGAGCGCAAGCTCCAAGGAGGCCTTGGGAGGCGCGCGCGTGTGAGATATTTTTTTTTTTTTTTTTTTTCTCTTCTGACGCGCGCGTGCTGTGTACGCGCGCGCGTCAGGCGCGTGTTCGCCACGCGCGACTCGCCTCTTTTTTTTTTTTTTTTTTTTTCTGCAAACTCGCGCGTTCTGTGCACGCGCGCGCGTCAGGCACGTGTGCGCCACGCGCGCGTGCTGCACACGTGCGAGTTTTACCTTTTTTTTTTTTTTTTTTTTTTTTTTTTTTTTTTCTGGATCTCGGGGCGCGCGCGCGCGCGGCGTCTTAGCCGGCTCGGGGCGCGCGGCTTGGCTAAATTTTTTTTTTTTTTTTTTTATCTCTTTCTTTTTTCTTCAACTTCTTCTTTTTTTCTTCTTCTTTCTTCTTCGAATTCTTCTACTTTAATCTGTTTTTTCTTCTTTTTGTTCTTGTATTTTTTCATCTTATTTTTTCTTCTTCTTTCTTCTTCTCTTTTTTCATCTTCTTCTTTTTTCTTCTATTTTTTCATCTTCTTCTTTTTTCTTTTTCTTTCTTCTTCTATTTTTTCATCTTCTTCTTTTTTCTTCTATTTTTTCATCTTCTTTTTTTTTTCTTTTTCTTTCTTCTTCTATTTTTTCATCTTCTTCTTTTTTCTTCATCTTCTTTTGTGGTCTCGCGTGCGCGATTTTACCCTTTTTTTTTTTTTTTTTTTTTGTGGTTGATGTTCAACCCTTGGGATGTTCTATTTTTTGTGTAGGAAGATTATACTCGTCTCTTGCGTTGTGATGTGAACCCACTTGGGGTTGAAAGGTAAGGGTGATGCCCAACCTTGGGATGAGTTAACCACCCACTGTAGGATGAGGCGCTCGAGACCTATGGTCTGAGGTGAATGCATACGGTTGTGTCGTTGCTTCAGTGACAACACGAGTTGAAGCTTTCGCGGTCGTATGCTGAAGGTCTTTGTCGGTTATCTGAACCGTTAGAGGAGCAAGTAGAAGTTGATATTGTTGAAGTTTCGGTGATCATACGCTGAAGGTCCTCTTCGGTTATCTGAACCGTTCGAGGGGGGGCGGAAGTAGGCCCCCAGAGAGTCGATGACCCATGGCGAGCAAAATATTTTGGGGGCACTATAAACCCCCCGGGAGTCGATAACCCTTGGCGAACGAAATATTTTGGGGGCAGATGTAAGCCCCCAGGGAGTCGATAACCCTTGGCGAGCGAAGTATTTTGGGGGCACTGTATACCTCCAGGGAGTCGATAACCCTTGGCGAGCGAGATATTTTGGGGGCAGAGGTAAGCCCCCAGGGAGTCGATAACCCTTGGCGAGCGAAATATTTTGGGGGCAGATGTAAGCTCCCAGGGAGTCGATGGAGGTGGTGCCATAGGTGGCTCCACATGTGGAGCAGGTGCTGGTATCGCGTTGGGAGCATTTGCTCCCATCGTGGCGATATATTGGGTCACGGCCTCCGTGGCAGCGCGAGTTGAAGTTTCTGCTATCATGCGTTGAAGCGCATCCTCGGTTATTTGAACCATTCGAGGAGCAGGGAGTGGTGGATCGGCGAGTGGTGGGTCCCGGGGGGGATCACCTGAACCTCGCGAGGTGGATCTGCAGCACGTGGAGGAGCTGGCTCCGCGGCACGTGGAGGAAGTGGCTCCGCGGCACGTGGAGGAGGTGGCATGCCAGATCCTTTACGGACTGTGAGGTTATTAGCTGTGTCATTTTCTCTCCGAGCTGATGCCTCAGGAGGATCTTGATTAGCTGTGTCATTTTCTCTCCGAGCTGACGCCTCAGGAGGATCTTGATTAGCTGTGTCATTTTCTCTCCGAGTTGACGCCTCAGGAGGATCTTGTTGGCTACGTGATCTGGTTTGCATTGTTCCCACAGACGGCGCCAAAATGATGATGCTATTTACTTAGATCACCTGGGGTAGTGTAGAAAATGAACTGGGAGAGCAAAGCGGATCAGTAGCTTGACAACTTGATGATCCTGAGGTACCTGCGATCATAGAACACGTAAACTAGGCCGGGGGTTGATCCGGCGGAAACCCCTCCGACGCTCAAGTCAGACGTGCTGATAGAGGAAATAGTCCAGAGAATACAGTTGTAGTATTGCTCAGTTAATAGGACGTACCTTATGGAATGAGTTCAAATGTGTATTTATAGCTTAGTTGAGATTGTCGGGCCCAAGCCTTGCTTGAAGGTGATTGGGCATCGGTGATAGTGGTCTTCGATATTGGGCTCGTGGCCCAGTAGGTAAATAATTTGTAGGCCCATTGGGTTGGGCCAATTATGCATATCAACTATTTATCGGATTTTCCTAGCATGTATCTAAACAAATACATGAACACACAATTAATAATATTCTTCCTCCATAGCGTTATACATGAATCACTCCAAAAGACGCACTAATGTATTCTTCGACATTTATGAATTGTAGATAATTCTAGAACCTTCAATACCCTGAATTTGATTAATGTATCTAGCTTATTCATTTTCAACACGTCCCCCTAAGCTTGATTCATGCATTCCATGTTGACTCCAAAACTTCTCGAACAATTCTCTCTTGAGGGTTTTCGTGAAGATATCGGCTATTTGATCTTCGGACTTCACGAACTTCACTTGAACTTCATTCTTTGCAATGCACTCTCGGATGAGATGATATCGAGTATCCATCTGTTTGCTTCGATCATGAAACACTGTGGATTTTTCGCTAGTGCAGTCGTTGACTTGTTATTGACAAAAACATGTGTCGAATCTTCGTGAACAAAATGGAGCTCCTTTAATAAGATTCTTAGCCATATTGCATGACATACACTCGATGTCACTGCCACATACTCATCTTCTACTTGATCTTTTTCTGCCAAAGCAGATTGCATCTTGATAGCTAATATCTCATTCTGATTCATTATCTTTTCATTGTGCTTCATTAACTTCTAGTTATGATTCACTAGCTTCTCATCTTGTTCAGACAAAATCTTGTTTTCAATTACTGCAGTTGATGCTAATCTATTAGCATACGAATTTTCGATTTCAAGTTTCGTATTGCGTACCTCTAGCTCCTTCTTTGACTTAGTTGCTTCAACTAATCGTTTTCTTCGTTCTTCAACCTCTCTTGCTTGAGCTTGTAGAAGCAACATATCATTTTAATCATTCACATTCCTAGTTGGTGGAATGAAGGCTCTTGGTTCAACAATACGAGTGATCACTTGTTGCAATTTGACATTGGTTTCTTGCAACTCCACACATTCTAAGGTCTTTCACTTGAGTTGTTCCTTAATCTTCCGATTATTAGCATCTTTAACCTCAAGTTCAAGGGACTTCTGTTTTAACTGCTCCATTAATTCAGCTACTAGTGAGTCCTCCACTTTGTTACTTTCGTAAATGTGGTTGCTTGTACTAGAATTAAGATAACACAAGCTATCTTTTGCGTCTATCGGTACCTCATATACCAAGAGGGATATCTCTGAAACTTCTTTTTCCATTTCTTCAACATAATGAGTCTTTTCATCATTTGACTCATTTCGACACTCCCAAGCATAGTGTACTCTTCCACGACCTCTTGTTGGTCCATTCTCTTGCTTGGTATCATCATTGTTGTTCAAGAATTGTCCTTCACGACCTCTGCCACGACCACGAACCCGTCCACGACATCGGCCTCTACCTCTGCCACGAAATCGAGCACCATCATATTTTGGTTGGTCGGCAAGGTTCGTCTTTGCTTGAAGGGTTTGTTCTACTTCGAGCCCTTTGTTTCGCCTCTCGATCTTCTCCTCATGGACTTGTAACTTGCCAAATATCTCGTTCACTTTAAGACTCTCAACGTCGTTTGATGCTTCAATTCCCACGACAATGTAGTCGAACCTAGGATCAAGGGATCGGAGTATTTTTTTTTTACCACTCTTCTCTCTTCCATTATTTCACAATTTCTCTGAAGTTGGTTAACGATCCAAACCACCCTTAAGACGTAGTCGGAAACTTTTTCGGAGTCTTTCATCTTCAAAGACTCGAACTCTCCACGAAGTGATTGGATTCGTACCTTCTTCACCTTATCAATGCCTTTGAAAGCATCGCAAAGATTATCGCATGGTTGCTTCGCCGTAGTAGCTTGAGAAATTTTCTCAAAGTTACTATCGTGTACACCGAGTTGGATGATGGATAGCCCTCTTTGACCTTTCACCTTGGCTTCTTTGAATGTCTTTCTTGGGCTTGGCTTAACGAAGCTAAATTCTCCGATTCAACAAACACACTCTTTTCACACACATGCACTTTTCACACACACACACACACTTCACACACACTCTTTTCACACACCCACACACTCTTTTCACACAAACACGCTTTTCACACACACACACAGACTCTTTTCACACACACTTCACACACATACACACACGCGCATACACACACTTTTCTAACACACTTCAACACACTTTTCACACACACACACACACACACACACACACACACACACACACACACACTTCACACAAACTTCAACACACTTTTCACTCACACACACACATTCGCGCACACACACACACACTCAACACACTTTTCACATAGACGTATATCTAATGTATGTCTGTACTAATAACTTGTCATCACCAACCAATTTATGTAAACTTAGCCACAAATTTTCTTTCACATTGCACATGAATCGATTCTTTAAAAAAATGAATATCAAATCTCAAGATAGCAAAATCAATCAAAGAATCAGAATATTAGCAAACCCTTAATATAATTTCCATAATAATATACACAAGGCTGAGATGTCGTCAGTTGACGGCGGTGGGGCGGTGGGGCGGTGGAGCGGTGGTGTTGACGGCGGCGTGCGGCCAGTGAAAGCGAGCAATGGCGGAGTTGAGTGGAGAGGGCGAGTAGCAGAGTTGAGTGGAGAGGGAGAGCAGCAGAGTTGAGTGGAGAGGGCGAGCAGCAGAGTTGAGCGGTAGTGGGCCCTATTGCCGGCGGCGTGCGGTGAACGGCGGCGAGCGGTGGTGGAGGTTGAAAGTGGCGACAGGGTTGGAAAATATAAGGGCTGGAATTTGAGAAATGCAATTTAATTTTGATTTAGACTGTTTTGATTTTGACTGATAAAAAAAATTACTCCCTCCTTCCCACTTTAATTAATGTTTAAGGATTTTTCACACAGATTAAGAATCTCATTAATTAGTCTTTAATTTGAGAATAAATTTCAAAATTGCCCTTTTCTCTCTAACTAATTATTCATTAATTATCACCTAGATTATCTCAATACCTTTGACCCTTTAATTTCTGCGGAGATTTTTAACAAACATATCTCATTACCTTTCTTTAATATCGTTACTTTCTCATTAAGTGTTTCTTTAAAAAGAAAAAATAACTGTACCATTAAAGAGTTGGAAAAATCAATAGTAAGGGTAGGAATGGAAAATAAAAAAAATATTTGCTTTGGAATTCTGAAACGTCAAATAAAATGGGAATTTTTTTCATGCCTAAAACGTCAAATAATTAGGGAAGGAGGGAGTATATTTTTTTGTTATAGACTTTTAGTATTTAATTGGGTTTTAATTAGATCCAATATGGCACCCTTAATTTTTTTTTTTTTTTTTTTTTTGACTTTCAATAGATCCTAAGTGGGTCTACATGGATCCATTTTAAAAAAAAAATTAAATTTAATCGGGTCCGAGTTTGTTATAACTAGATTTAATCTAAACCGGATCCATGTGATCGGAACCGAATCTAATTGCATCCATTGAACCGAATCCAAATTGCCACCCCTAACAAAAGAACTTTTATGCTTCTTCCTCTTGTGTCTATTATGAGCTATGAAGTTTTAAGGCACAATTTCATTTAATATAGACAAGTGAGACCTTTGAAACGACTCGTGTGGTGAAAGGATAGGTCGAAATTGGGCAAAAAATATTAATTGTTGTTCCTAAAACCTAAAATTGGGGGGTATGTCGAAAAGTTTGCAGAAATTTAATTAAAATCCTATGAAGCAATATTGCATGTTTATGATTTGTTACACTTCTAATATTTCCCTTTTACTAATAGAATTGAATTAATCTCAATTCGGATGCTTTCATTTACTCGTCGCTCAAATGCTAATATAGAAAATTATTCAAAATCATTGAGTCGGGATAGATACAACTTAATTAAAACGACTATTTAATCCGTCTTAATCTGAATTGTTGAATTATTATAATAATAAGATTTTAAAATATTTGAAAGTTAAAATAATTGCATTTATTTACTTGCAAATTTTAAATAATTGATTTTTATATTTCTTGAATTCTAAAGCAAATAAAATATAATATAACATATTTGGGTCAATTGTTTTATTAACTAGTTGGTCAGATTAAACGTGATAGAGTTAATAAAAACCGTCCGATATATATAGCCAAAAAATTGAAAGTAGATTATTTTGGAACATAAAATATATCCAATTATGAGATTTGTTTTTTTTTTTTTTTGTTTCTTTATTTATGATCATTTCTTATAAAAAATCAGAAAATATCAGTTTCGACAAATTTATGAAAGTCAATGCATGAATGAACGAAAAATATTGAACAATCCTGAAAACTTATATAAATTAAAAACAACAACCATAGGGAAGAGCATTTAATTTGTGTGTGGTTTTTTAGTACATTTATATCATAATATTACACTAATTAAAACTTCTAAAACGGATCAAAATCACATCCCCTGCTGGACCCTTGTCCACCACCACCATGGTTCCGCAACATATAGTCATTTATAAATTTCGTCAACCCACCAAGTTTTTCTTCCTCTTCCACTGTAGCAGAAGGAGGTGGCGGTAAGGGGACATAATATCCCACTGTCGGCGTTGCCGTTGGTGGCGGTGGCGACTGCACCATTTGAGCACCTTGCTGCTGCTGATGGTGAACGAAGCCACTACTGCCACCATCTATGGTTCTATCGCGCCTAACGAACTGTGGTAGCTGATTCATTGAGCCACGCTCGGGGTTCTGCTGGGCGCGGTGCTTGTTGAGGAAAATGGTGAGGGGCTCCAAGTAGTCGTCAAAACCTAGCGTCGCCATTGCCGCCAGCACATCCTCCGGTGTGACGGTATTTCGGTAGTCTCGGTGGCACCGCGCGTTTGCCTCGGCGGTGATGAATCTGATGAACTCGGAGATGCACTCCTCGATGGCCTCCTTTGCATTGTTAGCGATTTTGGCGTTGGCGGGGAGGACGCGCCGCATGATGCGGGTGATATTGGCTATCGACATGTACTGGTTCGCGTCTCTTTTGAAAGCTTGTTGTTGCTGTTGGTTCACCTCTCCGTCGCCGGCGTTCAATGGTGCAAGGTTATAGACAGCATTGGTGGTGGCGGTGGTTGCAGCAGCGGGAGCGCCCTCTTCCCTGATGACAATGCCTGAAAAGATACATAAATAAAATATTAAATTATTAAGAGATTAAATGAACTTCTTGTCTCATAATCCTCTTTTCCAGACCAATTGTAATTTCAATTATGTATATAATTTTAAATAAAATATACGTATAACAATATAATAATCACATAATATACAGGATGCAATGCAATTAATAAAAAGAAAAATTAAAATATAGGCAGATTATTAAACTAATAAAACTTAAACTTGGTCAAATAAATATGTATAAAATTGAGTGGCCAGTTTTTGTCAAGTGACGGTCATGTTTTATATGACCATCTTTTATTTTCGTAAGCATGTACAAAAAGCAGAGTATTTATAATATTGGTATGAAGGTTCGATTTTTTTTTCAATAGCAAACAATGAACTAATGATGTAAAAAGCATGCACGAAAATCTTACCTTTATTGCACTAATCTTGTACACACTGTGATAGTGTTCTATTACATTTCAAGTTTTATCATGTTTTATTTTATTTAATACAACACCATATATGAAATATTGATGAGGTCATTATTATATGAATATGACATATATTGATAAATAAAATAAAATTATAATACTAAAAATAAAATAAATATCATCACGTTGACTATAGTCTGATTGAAATTGTATCGAATTAATTGTCCTCTTTTCATCACAACATATTTCATCCACATTAACTAGAACCCTTTTTTATTAATACATATGGAATCACAGTTTGTTTTCAGATAAAATATAACAGTACTCTTAATCGTTAAAAACATATTTATTGAATGTATACAATGCATTGGATTGTAGTTCGAAAAAAATAAGAGGAAGCAATGAAAATCGAAATCTAGTTAGTACATGAACAAAATCAAAGTACTTCATATTAGCGTGTGTTCTATGGTCGACAAAAAAAATAACATACCATACAAATTAAAAGACGTTACTCGTGAAATATAAAAGTAATCAGAATATAATGATATGCAAAAGTAACAAAAAATGTTTTATATCCACTTCACGTAAGGAAATCCATGGAGCATAAAAAATATTATTGAACTTAAATCGCACCAAATTACCTAATAGAAGATCGATTTGTGAGAAAAAATTAAAAAAATACAATAAAATTTAAAAGAAGTTACTCGTCAAACATAAAGGAAATCATTGTAAAATGATATACGAAGCGACAAAAAAATACTTTTTATCCAATTCACACAAGGAGATCCACTAAACATTAAAGAGATTTATGAACTTAAATCGCACCAAATTCGCTAGTAGGAGATTAATTATCCACAAATTTAATCTAGCGAATTAACATGTGTTTTTCATTCCCTCAAATGAGAGATGTGGGAAGAAAAAAAAAACCCAAATCTATGCACATTGTTCATATAGATTTAGTCATAAAAACCAAATGCTAGGAAATTGAGTGCAATTTTTACCGGATGTGCGTGCTCTTCTCGTGTGTTTATGTTCTATGTTTGAGCTTCTTCCTCTTTCCATCGTCAAGTTTTACTTTTAATACAAACTCTTGATTGTTTTTATGCTTCTTACACTTATGTGTGTGATGAGTTATGAAGTTTTAAGGCACATTTTAATTTAATAAATAGACAAGTGAGACATCTGAAACGAGTCTACAAGTG